TTTATACCCAAATTGTAATAGGATATATTCAGGTCATTATAGCAATACCTAKCTAACATCATAGTTGAAAATTATTTGATATATACATAGGTAGGTACGTACCAACATTGTATAATAGATATCTAACTACAAAGACAAACATAAATGATAGGCATATATTATATTTTGATAACAGAATGACCAAAATATAGAAAAATAAAATGCAATAATTTCCGACTTGGTAGTACCTAACTTAAACATTTTTTAAGGTACCGCATTACCATGAGTTATGATATCATCCTAATCAAAACAAGTTAATAGTTTATTTATATTAATAGGTATAATATTAGTAATTAATAACAAATAAATATATTTCAATTAGTAGTACGTGGTATTAATAGTGTTTATCAATTATTGCCAGTTGAATTAGTTTTAAATAAATCTAAAACAACTAAAAACATAAAACGTTTAAATATCTTTAAATTGCATAGAAAACCCAATATATCATGTTGAGAAAATGATATTATAAATATTTGGTGAACATATTTTTAAATTTTGCGGTGGTTGTTCGTTAATATATAACAACAAAATATAGACTGATGGCTTATATTACAATATACTTACCAGTGAATTGGCAGTGATATTTCTGTAAAAGCTTACAGAAAGCCTATACGTATATAATTAATACTGAATCGCAAACTGCAGTAAACATATGAAACGCGTTGAAGACCKACAAACTTGTCCCACTATCAGCTATAGTATCACTACAGCGCCAAATTGATTCCGTTTTCATTATCGTTACTATTGTTTTTGTTTAAATATTTAATACCAATGAAAATATGGCTAAATGCTATATAATGAAATTAATGGAATGATAGCTTCCGATAATGGGACACTTATAAATGAAAGAAAAATAAATAAACGTAAGCAATCCTCGTGGCCCGTCACATGCGTTCCCATGGCGCAGTTCCTCAGTACAGTCACGGACCTCGAGTTGTGCCACGCCTCGTGGGAAGCCATATTTATATACAACTTGCGTTCTATATTATTTTTTGTTCAGCGGTCATAATATTAAGCAGGCTTTCTAACCGAAAATATCTCAAACCCAATCCTACCGGGACCGTGTCACAGTCCTAACCTTGTCGATGAACTCGAGCGACACGCTCACGTCATTAACGCAGTGCCGGGCCAACGCCAACAGGGTGGGTGACTCGGCCGTGGATGGTATGTGCAGCGTCCGGTTCCGGTCCTGTCGTCGTTTCATGCGCAACGACGCTTTGATGTCGCGCGTGCCTAAGTTGACAGCGGCCGCTCGGTCTTTGTCCGTGTACACCTCTTCGAGTAGCCTGGACCGGGAGTCACGTTTGTGCCGCTTGGCCCAGCCGCCACCGAAACCACCGCCACCGCCACTGACGCCTCCTCCACCGCCGGTGCCCGATTTGCGCGTCTTGAACTCTTCGGTCAGCTCGTCGAACGTCGTGGTCGGACCACCACCACCGCYACCTCCAAAAGAACCACCACCACCACCACCTCCAGTAGTACCACTACCACCACCACCACCACCCTTACGCCTCGCATGACGCCGACCCGCAGGCACCCTACAGCCCTTTCGACCAGGCCGCCTGGCGCCCGGCCCACCGTGACCGTTGACTCCACTCGCACCGACGCCGATCACGTAACCCGTCGCTCCGGCTACGTCGTCCGAATCCGACTCGCCTCGGCCGACGCCACCTCCGACTCCGCCGACGCACATGCCGTTCGCCTCGCTGCCACCTCCACCACCACCTCCACCGGCGCCACAGTCGTCCGACTCGTCCGACTTGCCCACCCGAACGTAGCTCTGCATCATCTCCGAGTCGCGGGTCATCTGAAGTATGTCCTTGACATGATCGGTCATCGGCTGTATGTCGCCCGACGTGTCGCCCAGCCCGGCCATGATGGCGACGCGACTTCTGTTCACGCACGTACGTCACTCGCGTATTTCGGCCGGCGCACACAGGCTCGTGGCCGTAGACTATATTGTGTGCCGTTATTTGTCTGATATATATATATATTATGTATATATGACGGAGGGCCCGATTGAACGACGCCAATACGCGCACGAGATGGATGATAGTAGCCGGAGCCGATAACAGTAAACTCGTAAGTATATTATATCAGGTGTATGTAGTATGTACTGGCGGTGTGATTGGAAAAGGCGAGGAAAAAAATGTCGATTCAACACCTCCGTGTCGTCACCATAGTAACCACGCCTAGCCGCACCTCAAATGCTTATAACGCTTAGTACGGTTCGTCACTGTATGCATGAGTGTGTGTGTACGTGAGTACGTGTGTGCGGTGCGTGTGTGTGTAAATGTGGTGACGGGTAGTGTGCGACGGTGTTAAATTGCAACGGAATCGGCAAAAATCGAATTTATTTTTCCGCATCTAAACGATTAGGTATTAAAATTATTTAAGTAGGTAGGTATGTCATATTGTCATGACATATGCGGTGGTACGCGTATAAAAGTGTTGAAAATTATACTAATATGAAATGTTTCGATGACGACCACCTACTACCTAGCGAATTACCACCGCTGCATTACACACGCATTATAAATACTTTTATCATATATGCATATATAATTAAATGTATAAAATAAATATTGTATAAATGATCTAAGGCCTAAATCCTGGGGTGTCATCACACGTATGACGTAGGTACACAGGCGAGTGGTAGGAAGTGTGATCCAGCTTGTGTTGATATTGTGTAATAAATAATAATATATATTGAATATAGACAAATCATATATAGATATAGTAATATTGACTCATAGGCGAAAATAAGGAAAGACTGGGAGGCTAATCCTCCTTAAAATTTAAATAGCCCTCAAAAAAACTAATGTCATATATACACCACATATTATTAGTGTCAATAAAGTGTCCAATATAAACCTGATCTTAGCCTCCCCTCCAAATCTCAAAACTATTTATGCCTATGAATATAATACACAATTATGTATGTTAGGTAAATTATTAATAATTAATTATTGGATAATTAATATGCAGTTTTCATTTGCTCGAAATCATTTTAATCATCGTCTATTTTAAGTACCATTAAAAGTCCCATTGTATTTTTCCCWATTATTATTAAGAAAAACATATAGGTTTCTATATTATTTTATTTCTATCTTTTTACATCTAAATGTACCAATTAGATTCACTTTTCTTCACAMAATATATGAGTTGAAAATCAAAAAATTATTTCTTCATAAATCGTAAAGATACACATACCTACACAAAAAATATAAACATCATAATCAGGGCTCGAGACTTGTAGCATTTGCATATTTTTTTGTAGTTTATGAAAGATAGCAGAGTAAGCAATAAATCCATTTCAGACAAAAATGAACTCAATACCAAAAGTTTTTAGTGCATATTTTTGCATATTCTAAAGGTTTTGCTATTTCTTCGACTATTTTACTATTTATTGCTAATTAATGTAAAAATCGAAAACTCAGTCCTGCAAAAATACATATTTCGGCCACTCATCAATGATCGACAGTTTTGGGACGTTATAAAACTCATTGTCGATTGAAAAAAATATTCCTAAAATATCCCAATGCAAGACAATATTGTGTTTATCGTATCTTTTATCTTAATGTTGTTTCTGTTATCGACTTCGACCATGCTTGCTTATATACCCAAACCCAATAATAATTATAGACTGTTCCGATCTACAACGACGTAATCGATTAGTATACCTCGACTTTTGATTGCGCTCGTATGTACGTTTTATCCGTATAGTGAATTTGTGAATTTATAAATTTTTCTTTGTTCAGCTTTGTGTGTTTCATTAAAACATATTTTTTATACCACGCCAAAAGATAAATTATCACTAGCCCGACGGTTAAGAAGCTATGTACAAGAATTCGTTTCAGATACGTTTTCACACGATTCATCTATTCTTTTCTGCAAMTACTGTGAAATTAAAGTAAATTGTGAAAAAAAATTCAATGTAACACAACATCTTAAAACTGACAAACATACAAAAGTAATTAAACGTAAACAAGAAGAATCAGTAAAATTCGACACATACAAATTAATGAGAACAGGRAAGAGTTTTTAGTCATTATTTGTAGAAAATTATAACTGTAAAATTATATAAAAAAATTTCTTTAAATTTTAATAATTATAAATTCATAAATGTCTAAATAAAAATGTTTAATAAATAATTTTTAAAGCATATTTTCATATTTTTTAGTGCATATTATAGCGYATATTTTACATTTTTTCGGTGCATATAATAGCGCATATTTCATGATTTTTTAGTGCTGTAAGTCTCGAGCCCTGATCATAATCATTACTCACGGATCCTCTAAGAATCTAAATAATTTTAGGTTAATATTTTTCAATTAATATTGAGTAGTAAATGTAATTACGATAACTTAAATGGTATTTAGTACAACATATATAGAGAAAAATATATATCGAAATTAGATCTCAGACTATTGATATTAATTATTCATTAAATATTTCTGATCTAATATTAAAATTTGTTAGTAGGTAGTAAATTAACTCAAACATAATCAGGTAGGTGCTGATAACAAATGTAATTCTGAGAAAATAACTATATGCAATGATCAATCTATATTTAGTGATTATAATGAAAGTTTTTTTTTTTAATTTTTACCTAAAACTGTTTAATATTAATATATATATATATATATATATATTAAGTAATTATTTATTTTATAATTTATTATACATTTTTAGCATAATTGAAAGTTATAACAAATTTGCTTCTAATTCATTTAAAAATAAAAGCAATACAATTAAACAAAATATAGCAGGTATATACGATGTTTTTAATTAATAGCTAGAAAATGTCAAAGATATAAATTATTATGAGTTAGGTAAGTCTTAGATTAAAATATAATGTCTAAAGGGTTAGATGGCCTATAAGTAAAATCTAATTTTAAATAATATTAACTATAATATTTACCGCTGTATATTGACGAATGGCTTTTTCATAGTTTTCCATTTTACAGTATACTAACGCCTCATCTTGTAAAAGTATTCGCAGGCTGTCGTCCGCGTTATCTAAATTCCCTTTCTTTTTTTTGTGCTTTGACTTATTTTTTTTCTTACTGGCCATCCTATAAAATACACATTTAACATATTATATAACCAATAACATACATTTCTATAGGGATACATTAAAATTTATAAGTTATATCTATATCAGTTAGACCTATAGTGGCGCGATGTGGCGTATTTACGGAGTGTCGGAGTGATAAAATAATTAATAGGGTATGGATCTCCCGTATTCCTGGAGTGATCGAGGGATGAATCCCCACATTTCTGTTTACAATATTTTTATAATATTATTGAAAAAACCCAATGTATATACCTATAGATTCTTGATTCTTATCAGTTGGCGTACAGGGGTCTTCATTTCGGGCACCCGGGAATTGGGCCACAATTCACCTTTTTTTCCAAAGGTATACGATAATTATTGGGCCACTAAAATTTTATATTTATAATAGAAAGGCCCGGTGATTGGGCCACTATTACGTTTTAAATTGTAATAAAATAATATTCAAGAGGATGTCAGTGCACCATTTTTCTCTCTTTGGTCCATGCGCAACATAGACAAAACGCATTTGCGCAGAATCATTTTTTTCTATGCATTTACAACATTATTTTGTTTATTTTTAAAGTCAAATAACAATAAAACACAAAATCGATATGTCATTCCCTCAAAAATATTATTATCTATCTTTTTTGTAATGGGTGATTTTACTCTACGATTACTAAAAAATATAGAAAAAATGATTCTGCGTAAATGTGTTTTGTGTATGTTACGCGTGGGCCAGAGAGCCTTTGTATTATATTTTTATGTACCGATTAGAAAATATTTTTTTCATATCATTTATTTTTTGACTAACTTTATGGTCCTTATGTTATATTCGTAAAATGAGTGTTGGCATTCTTTATAAAAATTATTTCATATTTGACTAATTTTATGGACCTTGTTGTATATTAAATTAGTTAAATCTGTATGGAAATATTTTAAAAAAATATTAATTATTTGACGAATTGTATTTTTATATGTTAAAACAATAATAATTAGTTAATAAACATTATATATTCGTATTAATAGTATATTTGTGTGCTATACTTTTAGGGCCAATCTCCGGGTATACTTTAAAATATAGATTTAATTTGTGGCCCAATATCCGGGTAGTAAAATGTAAACAAATATTTTATACGAAACAGGTAGTTAAAATGTGGCCCAATTCCCGGGCGCCCTTCATTTCTYCAACCCGCGGCCCGCCCTGTCATAATATATAATCACATTTTAAATTTAGCATGCTATTACGAATATTGGAAATATGCAATATAAGAAATTTGTAATAAAAAAAAAAA